TCATATATATGCATGGCTCACCAGTCTCCACTAAGCATTATTGAAGCGAGATTGAGCAATAATCTCAAAAAAAGTTTGAGCCCCATACTCGAGGGTCTCCTCAAACCCGACCAGACAGTCACCGAGATGAGGGAAATTGAGCAATCTAAAGTGTACTAAGAACATGTCAATCACATTTTACTATTAACTATGTAGGGTGCATATAATTAAAATGGATTAGGAAAGTCTGATAGGTAGTTTTTGATATTTCACACTCACTCTTAAGACTCCCAACTCAATTAATCTAATAAAAGTCAGATATGTGTAATTAAAAATAATTATTTTTTAAAAATATATTTTAGTTACAATTATTTTGTAAAAAAAACTATTCCTTCCTAATTGAAAAAAAACAAATGTCAAATATGTCTACTTATATAATTTTATTTTGTTATGCTTTTTATTTTAATTTTATGTAATTTTTATTTTATGCAATTTTATAAGATACCATTTTTTGTGTTTGACATTCTCTTAAGGATCAAACAAAATGGAGCCATTATACATTTTTATTTTATCTACCTATGTAATTTTTATTTTTTTGCATTTAATTTTTTCCCACTTTATATATTTTATGTGTGTTTACTTACATAATTTTAATGAAATGCACTTATTTTATTTTATGTCTTTTATGTGTGTAAATTTTATATAACTCTCTCTAATATTTTGTTGTTGATTTTCTTAATGGTTACATATATTTATAACAAATTTGGTAAAAAAACAATGTATAATACAATTACTCCCTACGTCTCAACAAAACTCCTAGTTACTATTCAGATGTCAAACTAACTCCATTTTCATTATACATTTTCATCTATCATTTGACAAAATAAAATAACATTGTCACCAATAATTTTGTAGAACTTTTGATGTAGTTTTTAATATATAATTTTTATTTTTTTAATTCTGCACCAATTTTTACTTATATTAGTTTGAAAATAATTTTAGTCAAACATCATAAATCGAACAAGAGCCTTATTTTAGGATAGAACAGAGGGAGCATTAGATAACCAATTAAATAGAAAAATTAATAGAGGGATAGTAGAACACTGATATGACAAAGTGTAAAAGAGTCTGTGAATTGAGATAGTTTTTCTAAAAGTATAGAGAATCGTAAAATACTAAAATGATCATGTAGTATACTACCTCCGTCCCGCTATGTTTGTCCAGTTTTGACTTTTGGAACTGTTCATCTAAGCACTTTGACTCATCAAATTCTCTCAATGTGTAAGCCTAAATATAGTCATGTGTGATCTTGTTTGATTTGTCTTAACATATAGATTATTAATATATAATTTCTATAATTTTTTAATATACAAATTATAAGATAAAATGGATTAAAGAAGTGCATTGGATGGTGTGCAAAAATGAAAGTGGACAAACATAGTGGGACGGAGGGAGTAGTTTGAAAGAGTCTCAAGAGTACTCCTTGCATTTGGGATGCCCTAAGAATATGCACATTTGAAAAAAATATGGAAACGAGATTACATATATATATATATATATATATATATATATATATATATATATATATATATATATATATATATATATATATATATATATATATATATGTTTATTTCTAGCCTTAAATATTAGTGTGATTCAATAACGGTTTAGGATGTTATAAAACGGAAAAATGCTAGGGGTACACCAAAAGTGTACCCCATATGCCCCCCACCCCCTCCTTGTCCACTAAAAAAGGCAAAAAAATTTAAAAAAAATAAGTAAATAAAAATCAAATAAAAATGTGTGGTGGAGAAGAGGTGGTGTACATTTGGGGTACACCTTTTGGTGTACCCCTAGCATTGCTCTATAAAACGAAAAATGTGTTTTACTAAGTGAAGTGCACGAAGCTATCTACGACTGAGGTGCCTAGCTACTTCTTTCGTAAGGCCTTCCAGAATGTAGCTATGTAGCCGTAAACCATGGTTGTTTTCCTCTTAACCGATATGTGATCGGATCTATTGTTTGTGTGTGTTTCTGAGAAGTTTGTGGTGAAAATGGTGTCAAAATTTTGAGTTTTGATATCCCCAACATTAACATGATGCATGGCTTTCGATATGTGGTCTATGTACGGAGTATGTACGTAGTAATACCAACTTGTCTTTTGTTCTCCCTTCGTAGTTTAATTTGTAGGGTATATTTTCAACCCCACAACACCACTACACTACACTCCAATATACAGTACGTACATGTGACTTTAGAAAACGAGGCGCGCCGAGTGGTTGCTTTAGTAGCATGCAGCCAGCGGATTCTTGGAACCTTAGTACGTACTATAGCATAGTGCTCCACTCTATTGCTTGACTTTGACTTACTCTCTCCCATCATCAATCATCCAATTAACCTCCCTTGCTTGCTAAGCAATAGTAGTACGGTCAATATAGATACTAGCTCCATCGGTTCAAAATATTTATAGAATTCACCCTAAATAGGAGTAAAATATGAATAAAGTATCAAAATAGGATTTTTATGTTTTAATTCTCTAAATAAGACTTTGCACTATGGTAATGTGGTAAATTGGTAATGCGTGACCCTGAACATGTGCATTTTATTATACTTTTTGTTAATGTACATGGTCATGATTGATAATGTAAATGCATTTAAACTCATATTTCGGGAATAAAATATAGAACTTTTATTTTGGTTTGGTATATTTCTTATGTTTACTCCTAATTTAGTCTTTTTCCAAATATTTACTCTCTCGTCCCAAAAAGATTACGAATGTTAGATCTTTTTCCGGTTAAACTGTGATAGACTTTGATTACTTTATTTATAACTTTAAATAAAGGTGTATACACATATATTTTAGATACAAAAGTGTCTTATATTTTGAGATGTTAATTGAAAAATAAAATATAAAGATAAAAATTTAGAAAAAATTATGTAAGACGGGTTAAATACACACATAAATGGTTATTCAAACAGATGTATATGCGAAGACAGCGGAGTGGATTATAAGCGGATTACATGTTTTACCAAGTCCGCATCCATTTACCAACCGAATGTCTTAATTGAATACGAATAGTAACCATTTTAAACGGATGTAAATATTCTACATATAAACATATACAGATGCGGACGGTAATTGAATTTTCGATTATCTATTTACGGCTTTAAGTGCAAATGTAATCTAAATATATGGGACTCGACTTATAAAGATCCGCACAGGTTTGGGTCATGCAAAACAAATGGGGGTAGATCTCACGACTTCTAATTTCTTCTAATTTTTCTAGTTATTTTCTATTTTCTTTCAGTTTTCTTCTAAATTTGCTATTTTCTTCTAATTCCTAACTCAATTTTTTAAATTCAAAAGAACAAGCTTTTAAGCATTTACAAAGAGATAAAACCAATACTTTGAGAATTATATACTTCCTTCGTCTTACGATTTTTATCTATTTTTAACTTTTTCCAGTCAATCTTAATATTATTAATAACCTTTGACTATTAATTAATTAAAATTTATATTAAATATTTATACAGGAATGATTTTATTATTTCTATCTTGTATAATATTTATATAATACTACCACCGCTCATGCGTATTTGTCCAGTTCTGAATTTTTACAATGATTTATTTTCAATACTTGATCTATAATTAAATAAAATTTACTCTGTATATGGTGTATTAATTAGATAAAATAGTTTTTTAAAAATAATATAAAAAATAAATCTAATTAATTTATTTTTGTATCAATATCTAATACTATCTCTTTTATTTAATTTTTGATCAAATTTTACCAATTTTGACAGACATAAATAAAAAGTGGGCACAATACTCAAGGACGGATGTTGTACTATTTTGTCTTACTAATATATTTTTATATTTTTTTAAATTATAAGTCAAATACCAGTCCTAATTTATTGAAAAAAATTAAAACTAGAGAAAAATATGCCAAATGTGTAGTGCATGCCCAATGTATAATTAATGCGAGCTGGCTAAACTCCACCGTTGGTCCTTCAACTTTATCAGTTGTGCACGATTGGTCCTTTAAGTTTTAAAAGTCCATAAATAGTCCTTCAACTTTATGAGTTCTGCACCATTGGTCCTTCAAGTTTCAAAAGTCCATAAGTAGTTCTTCAGGTACACGTCAACCCTCCAGATGAAGTCCTTTTGACAGTAAATATTAAAAGTTAAACGAAATACTAGTTTCATATTATATGTAGCTAGTATTGCATTTAACTTTTAACATTTACTGTCAAAAGGACCTCATCTGGAGGGCTGACGTATACTTAAAAGACTACTTATGCACTTTTAAAACTTGAAGGACCAATCGTGCATAACTCATAAAGTTGAAGGACTATTTATGGACTTTTAAAACTAGAAGGACCAATCATGCACACTTGATGGAGTTTAGCAAATACGAGCTGAGTTGCCTAAGTATTAATATACGGAGTACTAACTTGTAATGAAAGAGTAAAGTATGCATGTAGTGCATGTGCATAAGTGTATTCCTTCTTTTTTAATCCCGGATTTCCAGTGATTTTGTCCCAATAATGCTTTATAATTAAACTCATGCGTACTATACATACAATAATCAATAAACAAATTAAAGTATGCCTTACATAAAAAAATACTTCTTCCGTTCCTTTAAACTCTTTTCATTATTATTTTAGGAAAAAATAAAGAAAGTATAATTTTGGTTGACTTTCCAAATATGCTTCTGATGTGATGAGTAAAAGTAAAATGTGATAGTTTGGTTATTATTGGAAAACCATGATGTGATAGATAGGGTATGAAAAAGTAGGGATAAAGTAGGAATAAACTTTATAAAGTAGTTTTTTTAAAAAAATAGAAGTGTTTTAAAGAATTGAAAAAAAAACAAAAAGAGAAAGATTTTATGGAACGATAGTGAATAAAATTAAAGTATGTCTGCATTTATCTTAAAAAATTTAAAATGAAAATAATGATTACTCGTATATTATTGTAAAACGTACATATATACGTACGTGCACCGCCCCTTTGTGTGGGTATATATATCACACACCACTTGCAAACTCCCCCATTCATTTTTCTCTCCATCACTTCCATATTCAAATCACTTGTATTACTTAAATTCTGAAGAAAAAAAAGCCTCGAGGGGTCGAAAGAGAAAGAACAGGAAGTAAAGGGATGGAGCCGAGCAATTTCCCAGTGGTATCGAAGAAATTCTGGAGATTTGTGAGGACCGCTTTGTCAATGTTGAAAGAGGGCATGATCGTGTCCAAGACGAAGCTGATGCTGGATCTCAACCTCCTACTCAAGCGCGGAAAACTCGCCGGAAAATCCGCCTTTCACAACCTCCTCTTCCACTCCACCACCGCCGGCGGCGGCGGCGGAAGCAAGCTTCCCAAGGAGTACTACGAGTTCAGCTGCAGCAACAGCCCCGCCGCGTACCCCGGCAAGAAGGGCAAGCGCCGCAACGGCGCCGCCGCCTTCGACGAGATTCTGGCGGCCAACGCGGTGGTGAAGGCGCTTGAGGTTCTTCACGCCGCCGAAGCGCCATCCCCGGCTCTGCCCGGATTCGGCAGGACGCCGGTGGTCCGGCAGCTCAGGGTCTCCGACTCCCCGTATCCGATTAGAGAGGCGGAGGAGGGCGGCGGCCAGGTGGACGCCGCCGCGGAGGCTTTCATTTCCAAATTCTATAACGCCCTCAGGCGGCAGGGCATGGAAGATAAATGCTAAAGTCAGGGAAAAATATATTTTGTACTCTTTTTTTAATTTATGAATTATTACATCTGGTTTTGGTCAGCCGGGCGGTTGCAACGTTTAATGCACGCGCCTGCACGCAAGATGTAGAAGGGTTTTTGAACCCGGTTTGGGTGTTCAGTCGGGACGGTTCAGCCACGGTTAAAGTTAAACCGCCCACGATGACCGGAATAGTGATTCATCGACGTATGGAGTAGGGAGTATTTATTCTGGTGTGGTCGTGGGTGAAATCGTTGTATAAGAGATGCTTTTGTGCTCTGTATTAACTTGAAGCTTTCAGAATTTCTGATTGATCTTATTATTCATTTATTATTGCATTTTTATAGCCCATAAAAGAGATTTCTCCTATTTGAACGATTTATAGAATCTCGTGACTTTTAAAATAATTTTATATATAAATTGGTCTAAAAATAAAAATTAAAATTTTGGAATATTTGTTGACGCTTGGAGGACATTGTCACCGAGGAAGATGCAATATCCAGACGTGGACCAGCGAGTGTGAGGACACCCGACCCAATCAGCATCCGAGTAAGCCCGCATGTAGTCCGTTAGAGACATAGAGATGGAGATGCCGTGTGAGGGTGTGCCGTGGAGGTACCGTAAAACCCGTTTCATTGTCGTGACATGTGGCGTACGTGGGTCATGGAGAAAGAGACAAAGCTGCTGGACGACATATGTGATGTCAGGACGGGTTAAAGTGAGGTACTGCAATGCTCCTACAATCAAGCGGTACAAGGTAGGGTCCTGCAGCTTCCCATGTGTATCGACAGGGGTAGACACTAGACACTGGTTTGCATAAGAGCATACCTGCACACTCAAGTAAGTCATAGAGAAACTGAGTCTGTGTAAGAAATAATCCATGAGACATGCGCTGAACATTGATCCCCAAGAAGAAGTGAAGGCCCCACATGTCTGTCATAGCAAACTCTCCCTTCAGATGCTGTATGATATTCTAAAGGAGACTCTGTGAGGAAGCTCTGAGAATGATGTCATCCACGTACAGAAGTAAGACGCCATCTGTGACCCCTGACCATAAGTGAACAAAGAGGTGTCGCTCTTGCAGCCGCGAAAGCCAAGGGAGAGAAAGAACCTGTGAACCACTGATACTAAGACCACAACGCTTGTTTTAGACCATAGAGCGCCTTATTCAATTTGCAGACATAGTGAGGTCGAGTAGGATCTTGAAAGCCAGATGGTTGGGCCGTGTAGACAGTTTTGGTGAGAGATCCATGAAGAAAGGCATTCTTGACATCCAACTGGTGGATCGACCACCCGTGAGACACGGCCAGACTGCGTATGATATGAATGGTTGCGGGCTTGACCACCGGGCTGAACGTCTCATCATAATCAATGCCATGGCGCTGATTGAACCCACGGAAAACTCATCAAGCTTTATACCTGGAAAGTTCACCTATGGGGCTGAGTTTGTGTCTAAAAATCCATTTGCCAGAGACAACATTTTCGTTTGGGGAGGGTGGTACTAAATCCCATGTATTATTGGCAATAAAAGCATTATATTCATCCTGCATAGCATTGTACCAGTTAGGATCTTTTAGTACACTACGGTAGGTAGGAAGGATGGGGGATACCCCGACAACGGTATTGAGGTTGAGTATTTATTTAGAGCAAAATACACCGACTTTGGCTCAGGTGACCATGGGAAGTGTGGG